ATTTTTATCCACTTAAACTGTTGAAGATAACGACATGCATTGTACTTTCTCCTTAGAGGCTAGAATCTGCCATGCTAGGATTTGAACACTTTTGTGAACTGGTTAGATTATACAAAATCAAGAACCCCAAATAGAATCCAGTTCTTGGGGTTTCATTAAACTACTTTTGTAGTTCTGTTTACTGATGACATAGTTAAATAAAATATTTAAATCAGTGAGGAATAAGAAAGCTCAAGTGAAGTCAGAAGAGAACTTTAGAGGCATGTTGCTTTGGCTGTCTGTTCCCAGTTGTACTTAGCCAGAACTACCAATATGAAATATAGGTTATTAAAATATAGAAGGAGCCTGTACAATTTTAATTTTTTTCATTTAGGGTAGCAATAGGATTCAGGTGTTAGAATCTGCTGTACTTTTTTTTTTCTTTTTCACACATGGAAACAAGAGGAACACTTGAAGAAGCATGATAATCTTTCAGATTCTCTTAGCAGGAATGTGCAAACTGCAACAGGCAGGTCAATTTTAAAACTGTAGGTATTAAACATATGCTTTTCACACATTTTTTTCCTTGGGGGGGGGGAAGCCTGAGCCTTCCAGTGAGTTAAGTTTACTGATAAAGTTTGCTGTTTTTGAATTAGAAAATTTCTAGAGGTATTTACTGTTTTTTTTTTTTTTTGAGAGAGAGAGAGAGAGCCTGCAAGCAGGGATGGGGGTGGGGGGAGAGGGGGAGGCGCAGAGAATCTTCAGCAGGCTTCAAGTTCAGCACGGAGCCCAACATGGAGCTGGATCTCACGACCCTGAGATCATAACCTGAGCCGAAATCAAGAGCCGGATGCTTAACCAACTAAGCCACCCCGGTGCCCTTAGAGGTATTTCCTATTAAAAACTTGGCGCACATTCTCCTTTTTTCCCTTCCTTTTCCATCCTCCATCCCTCCTTTCCTTCTCGTTTCTTCGTGCTTGATATTTTACTCCAGTGTGTTCATTCTACCCTAATAGTCTGTTTTCTGCCTTTTCACCAGTCTCCGTGGGGGCCTCCTTTGATATCCCCCTCGCCCTCTCTTTCTCTGGTTGCATTTCTCCAAACTGCTCAGTCTCTGAAAGCATCTGGCCTGTTCATGACCTTCTCCATCCAGGCACCTGCTCTCAGGTGCTCCTTAATTTCGAGTTGAATGTGGAAAGAAGTCTCAGGGGGACATAATGATTCCTCTTGACTCAGGAGGGAGAAGCCGTCAGGCCTGCACTGTACAGGGGACAGAGGAGCCAAGAGAGAAGGACAGGCCCTGGAGCCGTGGCCTGGCAGCCAGCCAGGAAGGGCTGGTCTGTCATAAGTCTCCGCAGCAAACTTGCAGTCTCCTCCAGAGCGCTGCACTTCAGTTTTCTTAGTTATGGTCCAAGAATGCCCCCTGGAATCTTTTTCTTTTTCTGTCTCAGTTTTGTATGGGTTGCTGGTTTCTTACTGATGACTTTTTGGTTAAAGGAGTATTTTATCGTTGTTTGTACTAGTATTAATGAAATATGATAATTCTGGGAGTTAGCACTTCGCCTTTTTCAAAACTACATTTTTCCCCCCCCTCAAAAGAGAAACTCTTTTGTCTGGGGATTTTTTTTTTTTCCTTCTTAATGGGATAAAGTACTCTTAATCCCTCAGTAAACTAGCTGTCACCTGTGTAGGTCTCTAAGTCCGCATGGTTCATTCTCTTTCCCTGAAGATTTCTGGGTCTGAACTTATTAGTAATTCTGGATGACAAGGCCAGTGCGTGGAAATTCTTGCTGGTGATCTCACCTGCGGAGACTGTGGGCATGGCGCCTGGATATCGATCTGCCAGGACTAAGTGTCAGGAAGGAAATCCTGTGAAATTCCTGCTCAGGGTTAACCATACGGGAGTAGTGCTCAACAGTTTCATTCTTCTGGCCGGTCTCCTCCCTTATTAAAATGGATGAAGAAGCCTTGCTGGCCATGAATTCTTGCTGACAGGCTGACCCTGGGTCAGGATGGTGGGTAAGGCTAAGAACATTCCACGATATGGGTGGATGAAAAAGAACATATGGAGACTTGATACAGGCCTGTCATTAGAAGGAGTTTTAGTAATGATTGCCCAAACCCTAGAAATGGGGTGCCTCTCACAGAAAGCAGGGGTCCCTCAGGCACCTGGGGTGCCTGAGTGGCGCAGTTGGTTGGGGGTCCGACTCCTGGTTTCAGCTCAGGTCATAGTCTCAGGGTCATGGGATTGGGCCCTGCATGGGGTTCTGTGCTCAGTGTGGAGTCTGCTTAGGACTCTCTCTCCCTCTCTCTCTGTCCCTGCCTCCGCTCTCTCTCTCTAAAATAAATAAATCTTAAAAAAAAGAGAGAGTATGAGCTCTGGAGTTAGACAGGCATGGATGCAGATTCTGCCCTCGATACCTGTTAGCTGTGTGCTCTTAGATGTTAAGCCTCACTTGTTATCCCCACCTGAATTGGAGATAAGGAAGGATAGTATTGACTTTCTTGAGTTTTTAGGAGGATTCAATGGGAAAGGGGGTATAAAATGCTTACGACACATCCAGGCACACAGTGAATGTTCCGTCAATGATTACTGATTTTACCACTGATTTAGCACTCTTTCTACACAACTGCTTTCTATCCTTTTCCAAAAGTCAGATTAGAGACCGTAACATGTGTCTTCATTTCCGTGACAGCACAACATAGGGCACTATGCACCCACAGTCTTCACACTAATGTTTACACCACCGGGGATTCATGAAGACCATGCAAAGTGGACAGGGATCCTTTTAAGGATCCATTTTTTAGATCTTTAGGTTCCAGGTATCCTCCCCTTTCTAAAATTGAGACTACGTGTGCTAAGTGTCACCCCAGGGTTTTTTCCAATATCCTCTCTCACAGTTGCCCTTTTTGCAATTTTACTAAAGAAAGGTGTTCTTCTTACCCATCCCAAATCTTAGTGTGGTGCCTTGTTCCAAGGTGTCATTCCACTGGGGTACAAGATATGGGGGGGTCAATTTAAAATATTGGTTTCAGTGAACCCTCTTTTAATGAAGCCACTATAACCCCCCCACCCCCACCCCCACCTTACTAAGAATTGCATTCTCAGTAAAATTTACTTTTAGGGCCTAATGCATTAAAATTGGCAGTTGTTATGTTATTTTGGTCATAGGTTATTAATGATATTTGTGGTGATTATATAATCCAGAAGAGTCTCTTTTATACTTAAAGCTCAATGGTCACAGGAAATTTTAGAAAATTAAATTGAAAAATGTATTTTTGCCTCAAAGTATGCTAGGGTGATTAATAAGATACCCTACCACACAGAATTACGTTAGGAAATTTTGGGGGAAAATTGACATAGAAATGTGATTTCTAAGGATAAAGAAGAATAATCCCCAGCTGTTACGGGAAGCATATTTATTTTTAAATGGAGGATGGTGGATATCAAATCGTTGTGCTTTTTATAAATGTTTGAAGACCTGTGTTATATTTTATTGCTATTAGTTTCTCACAAAAAGGGAGGACACTCTCCTTTCTTGCTGTTCTTTCTGTTAAGCACAGAATTTAATTGGTCAATATTTTATGTATGCCTTACCTTTTGCTAATTTAATCTTTAGCTGAAAAACATGAGTATCTTCCACATGCCAGACTCAGTGCCAGGTATACCAGAAGACACACCAGGCTCTGTGTTCACGGAGTTCATGGTTCAGCTGGTTTAGAAGCTGAATCCTGTGGGACGCGTGGGTGGCTCAGTTGACTGGACGTCTGTCTTGGCTCAGGTCATGATCCCAGGGTCCTGAGATCGAGTTCCGCATCGTGCTCCCTGCTCAGCAGGAAGCCTGCTTCTCCCTCTCCCACTCCCCTTGCTTGTGTTCCCTCTCTCGCTGTCTCTCTCTCTCTGTCAAATAAATAAATAAAATCTTAAGGGAAAAAAAAGAAGCTGAATCATGGTAGAAACTGCAGTAATCAAATAAAAATGCATGGCAATTTAGGTAGAGATCGCAGTGATTTAGCTAACAATGCAACTGCATCACTCCCAGTATAGTACTGGTGCTTTGGTTCTTGTGGGTACTGTTGCTTCTCCAAAGAATATCAGGTTAATATCCTTCTTTGTCTAATTAATTAATTATTTAATTTTTAGAGAGTGAGAGAGAGCATGTGAGCCAGGGTGGGAAGCAGAGGGAGAGGGAGAGGGAGAATCTCAAGCAGACTCCCGGCTGAGCGCAGAGTCTGATGCAGGGCTCTATCTCAGGACCCTGAGATCATGACCTGAGCAGAAATCAAGGGTCCTTCCAGTGCTCAATGGACTGAGCCACCCACGCATTCCCTTCTTTGTCAAATTTCAGTGTGCTGAAAATAATGCTGAAATTGGGGCAGGGGAGACTTTGTTTTCTTTGTTTCTTGATTGGGTTTCTATGAAGAGCATGGGTATTCCATGGAGTGTTGGTGAAAAATAGTATTAAAGTTATTTTTTCAGTGTGGGATCCTGGGCAGTAAACTCTCAGAAGGGTGGCTTCACTTTCTGTATTGTTAGATTTCTTCATTTATGATTTGGGAAATTAATTTGATAAGCATTTTAGGAATATCTAGACCTAAGACTAGAATAGATTAGCACAACCTGATGGGATAGTGTTCTAGACACTTTGCAGTTCTTTTGTGTTGATGCTAATTTATTAATGTGATTAAATATTCTCTGAGGGACACAAAAATTAGCATGTGCTGAATTCACACACTTTGCAGTTCTTTTGTGTTGATGCTAATTTATTAATGTGATTAAATATTCTCTGAGGGACACAAAAATTAGCATGTGCTGAATTCACACACTTTGCAGTTCTTTTGTGTTGATGCTAATTTATTAATGTGAGTAAATATTCTATGAGGGACCCAAAAATTATGTACTGAATTCACACATTTTGTATAATTTCCTAAAATTCATTTCTCAAAGAGCATGGAGTTATGCCTTACATAATAAATTGTTGAAGTAAATGAGCTCAACTTTATTTTGCTTTTTCCTCTAGGTGAAAAGAAATGGATTATCACAGACAGTTAGCCAGGAGGAGAGAAAGAGACAGGAGGTATGTTTTCTACTGAGCAGATACTTTAGAGCTCCGAAGAGAGTGTGTGCTTTCACCTACTGTGTGCATTGGTTCAGTGTTTTCCTTTGAAAACGTATTCATTTTGTTCTTTTTGCGTTAAGCGGTATGTGTTCATTGTCAAATAAAACTACACATAAGAACCCAGGAAAGAAAACTTAAAATACCTTAATGTCATTTTAGCTTAAACAACACCTAGTCGAGGTATTTAAACTGGAAGAAATATGTTGAAAAATGAAAGAGATGTCAGATCCTGGATGGAAACAGGATATTAGTGGGAAAACTGGTGTAATCTGAGTAAAGTATGTACATGTGTCTGCAGATAAAATGTAATGGACCGTGGTTATGTCGTGTGCCCTGGTTAGGGGAAGCTGCATGAAGGAAACACAGGAGCTCCAAACCCTCTTTGCAAGGTTTCTATAAATCTAAAATTATACCAAAATAAAGGTTTACTTAATAAAAAATAAAACAGAGAGTAATAGGATTTTACAACTTGAAATTTAAATAAACGCTGTTTATAGAAATTACTCATTGTAATAATATAGTGAAGTTCTCAACACTTTTCTCCTGTTACATGCATATTACTATGTTTATGTATATACATGCATATGAACTGCACAAAGGATATGCGCTGTATTTTTATTTTATCGGCATGAACTAACACAAAAATACAAGGGGACATTACAGTGTCATTTTTTTTAAGTTTAAAAAAACATAATAGTATATAACATTGGTCTACCCATCACTGAGAATTAACAAATGTATTACATTTATAATTTTTTCCTTATGTTTTTTAAAGAAAACAAGACTTTCAATAAAGTAGAGTCCTTGTGCTCTCCTTGGTATCATTTCCTTCCTCTCCTCCCCAGAGTCAGCTATAATTATTAATTGATATGTACCTATCCAGTCTGGTTTTTTTTTTTTTAAGATTTTATTTATTTATTTGAGAGAGAGAGAGATAGTGCACAGAGAGAGAGAGAATGCACAAGCGGTGGGGGGGAGGCAGAGGGAGAAGCAGACTCTCTGCTAAGCAGGGAGCCCGATGCAGGACTCGATCCCAGGACCCAGGGATCATGACCTGAGCCGAAGGCAGACACTTAACTGACTGAGCCACCCAGGCGCCTCTCAATCTGTGTTTTTAAATCACGTATTACATATATTTATGTACATATATTAGTGTACATATGTGAGTGTTAAAATGTAGATAAGTGATGATTCTGAACATATTTTTTGTTTACTTTTGACATTCAGTGCTATTTTTGGGATTTATCTATGTTAATGTATATTAATCTAGATCATTCATTCAAACCACTATATAGTATTCCACTGTATAAATACCACCTTAAAAAAATCTGTTGTCCAAATCTTGGACAGTGTTTTTTTTTCTTTATTATTAACATTGCAGCATAAATAATGTTTGTGGACAAATTCAAGAGCTGCTCCAGGGTCCTAACCCCATTTGAACATATGTGTTCTTTTAAACCTTTTCTATTTGAACCTATTTATTTCCTTTATATTTTGAAAACATTCAGATTTGTGATATAAAAAAACTAATGACAGCAGCAAATCTAACTTTATGGTTCCTTTCGATTCCATATATATATATATATATATATATATATATGGATATATATATAGCTATTTTTAGAAAGTTTAACCCAATTTGCTTTTAAGTAGTTGATGGCTCTATTGTAGGATGTTTTAACAGTTATTACCTTAAACCTATTATATTAAGCTACCACTTAATCATCTTTTCCTGTGATCTATTCTGTATAGTTCATGTGATCTTTTTGTTTAAATCTTAGTATTTTGCATTTGATTACAAAAGCCTTTGCTTTTGAAAATATTTTGTCATTCAGGGTTCCATATCTATTAACAACATGACATCCACTATTTTTGGTCAGGAAGCGACAGTTTTCTTCAGTTTGTGCTACATTTCCCAGGGATAATTGTATCGATTGGATAGAATTATACAAGATACAGGTCAAGTGAGACTCTTCATGTTCTTACTCTTTACTCATTAGATGATTATATCACTTAAGTCCCTGGAGCACAACTGAGGCTAGACCAGCACCTTTAAAGTTTATAGATGCTGAAAAGGGAGATGAACACCGAGACCGGCCCCATTAACCTGACCTACAGAATATGGCCCACTTACCAGCAGCTGGGCGTCCACTTGCCTGTGTCTGCCTGCTCTCACCCAGCTTCAGCCATAGCACAGGGACTTACGGCAAGAATCTTCTGGGCCTTTTAGGCCAAGGGCTTGAGGAGACATATCCGGAGGCCAAGGTGATGATGGCAGTGTTACCAGGGAGATCTCTGGGGAGGATGTGAATTTCAGGCCTGCGAGGATATTTACCACCCCTGCCTGAGGAGGAATCCCTGTGTTGCCATTCTTGGAGGATCTGAAGGTGATTTTGTTAAGGAGCTAGATGAATTCCTTACACAGGGCGTTGGTGCCTACCCACATATGTGTGTTGGCTTTTTATCATTAATGAACACTTACCAGGTAAACGACTGTGTGCCTGACACCAAGCATTTCTGCAGAGGGTCTTGAGATACTGATGGGAGCAGAAAGGTGTCTTGTTGAATGAACAGAATTACTTTCAGTTGTATGAGTTTAATATAAAAGAATTCCTGTGGCTGATGAGAACCTTTTGAGGGTAGATACAGACATGCTCTTCTACTATACCCTGACTCTTTGCTGTAATTGACTGCAAATTTGCTGGATTAAAATACGGGGAGAGAAGGGACCCACATAAGAGGAGAGCAAAGAAATGTATTTGTGAGAAATTTTCTTGGAATCCCAAGTGGTGTCTATAAACCCTTAGTGTCCCAGAGCAGCATACTTTGAAAACAGGCCTGGAGGAGATGACCCCAAAGGTTAATTAATGTCACACTGAGATTTTATGGCATGCCCTAAGCTTCCCTTCCATAGATTCTACCCCTTGACAAAGCATGACCTCAGGATGCCATCTCAAGTCATCTAAATGCTTTCACTTTTTCATTTTTACACTGTGGGCAGTGACTGACTCTACTTCCTGAGGTTTGGGTGTATGTGCCTTATATAAAAAAGACAGTAGTTTGGGGATGCATTTTTCTTCATGCTTATATTTTTGTGCTTTTTAAGATATGTGTTTTTATAGGAGAATTATGAAAACTTTATTTAGTTCTTCAATTACAATAATTAATAATACATTTCTTTTTCCTTCATACCAGGCTATCTTTGAAGTCATATCCTCTGAACATTCCTATTTACTCAGTTTGGAGATCTTGATACGAATGTTTAAAAATTCTAAAGAACTGAGTGATACAATGACCAAAACAGAGAGTCACCATCTTTTCTCCAACATTACAGATGTCTGTGAGGCAAGCAAAAAGTAAGTTCACCTTAGCTGGCCTTTGGTCATACCAAGACCTTCCTTACTAACAAACATCTATGTTATCTCAAAGGGAAGACCTTTAGAAGTATGAGGTCTCTCATTGATTCAGTTGGCTTTTATCTTGATCCCTTGAAATAAATTTTAAGATACATTTCGGGTTGTTAATGTATAGACGGATGGCAAGTGTGTAATAAATTGTCACCACAGACAGTTACATCTGAGGTCTTTCACTCCTTCTGTGTCCCTGCCTCTTCTTCTTCCTTTTATTTTATTTTGTTTATTTATTTATTTTTAAAGATTTTATTTATTTATTTGAGAGAGAGAGAATGAGAGAGAGCACGAGAGGGAAGAGGGTCAGAGGGAGAAGCAGACTCCCCGCTGAGCAGGGAGCCTGACGTCGGACTCGATCCCGGGACTCCAGGATCATGACCTGAGCCAAAGGCAGTCGCTTAACCAACTGAGCCACCCAGGCGCCCTTCTTCTTCCTTTTAAATTATACGGATAATAGAACAACCTTTAGTTGTGAGGGAAAATAACTCATGGTAGTACTATTCAAATACAAAAATTATTTTTGTTTACATTTTCATATTTTTTGTTCATCTATGTAAATATTATTTTGAAAATTTAGTCATAGTGACCATAATGATTTTCTTAGGTTTTCCCTGCTTAACATTCCATAAGCACTATTAGAGGGGAGTTTTCCTTATTAGTTTTAATAGGTGTAGGAATCTCAGTTCGTATACCCATAGTGAGCTGTTACGTTCTTCTGAGTGAACTACAGAGCCTATACAGGAGCCCTGTGCCATCAGTGTGATACATTGAGCCATCCTAAGTTGCTATTTTGGTAGATCAAAATGGGGTTGAATATTGGCAGTTTTATATAGTTGGGTCAAAGGTGGCTTTACTGTATAATTAATGAAGCCTAAGCTTCAAGGTTTCTCACTTGCAAAGGTACCTCTTAAATATTTGCTTTTGTGCCTAATTTCTTTCTTGGTGGGCCTACATACTGTACAAGCTCTAGGGCCCACAAAAATTGGCTCTGTCCCTGGGGGGAGTATCTGGATGTATCTTGCAAATCTGGACCTTGCTTATTTGTCACATGAGGGCAGAGCCAAGCAGCCAGGAATGATAACATGTTCGTGCCTGCTGGCTCCATCACTGTGTGCAGGGAGATCTTCCTTTTGAACTTACAAGATGGAACATTCATGCTGAACAGGTTAGCATGTGAGTTGGGGCTTCTTCAGAGAGCTGGAGTTTGTGGTTAGATCAATGAGATCTTCAAATTTCCATGATAGTGGCACAACTTCAGAAGCCAGATTCTGCCTCAGGAAGAGATCCTGGCAATCTTGAGACTGAAATGGCTACTTAAAAATACATGTTCAGAGGACCCCCTCGGCCTTCGGGAACACTGGGCCCATGGTGTGTGGGTGGTGGCATGTACCACCACTTGGAAATCCTTGTTTAGAAGCTGGGTTGTTGCTTGTGTTCAGCCTACTGGTCCTTTTGGTACCAGTCTTGCCAGTTTCAGTAAGAGAAATGAAAATCTTTTTTCTCCTTCGGTGAAGAGCTCAGAACAAGAGCCTTCAATGATGTGTCCCTGTTTGAAAGGTATTCAGATTTCAGAATGAGTCTCTTTCATTTTAACTTGTACTTGGGTTGATCTACAAAAACAAAGCTCTGTATTAGATACACAGCTATCAAGAATTATTACTGTTTTGATAACTATAAAATGTAAGTCATGATTTTAATGAGGATATGTTTTCTGAAAACCGCAGTGGCGTGTTTTTATGCACAAAGCATGTGCTTTGGGTCCTTATGGTCTTTGAGCCCTGACAGCACGGCTTTCATATCAGCGTGGTTCACAAGGGACCTGGGCTCGAACAGTTGATTCTCCTTTTGGTAGTTGGTTAACCTTCAGCAGGTTGCTAAAAGTCACCCCCTCAATTATTTATTTATTAAATGGGGATTGGAAAAAATCTGTATCTGGTTAACCCTGAAATAACTCATTTTATTTAAATTACAGATTAAAATTTTATGATTTTAATTTCAATCTTTTACAAAATTTAAATCTTTTATGATTTTATTAAAAAGTTTTCATTTCTATACTGGCTTATAGTAAGACACTATTCTGGACATTTTTGTTTATTTCTTATTTTTAAAACAAAACTCAAAATTCTTAACCTCCATTAAAAGATAAAGAAAGAAACATTTTTTATATTTTTACTTTGTTTTTACTTAAAAGGCAGTGTTTTTTTCTTTCTCAAAATGTTATTTATTTATTTCAGAGAGAGAGAGCAGGTGGTTGGAGGAGCAGAGGGAGAGGGAGGGAGCCCAACAGAGGGCTCAGTCTCACAATCCTGAGATCATGACGTGAGCCGAAATCAAGAGTCAGATGCTTAACTGACTGAGCCACCCAGGTGCCTTAAAAGGCAGTGTTGTAATTTGGATAGCTACCTGTGTGATACTTGATCTCTGTTATATTTCAATTTCAACTAGGAATGTTTAGCTTCTACATGATAATCCAATGTCTGTATCATAGAAACATATTACAAAAGTTTATTCAAATTAGTTTGAAACACTCATTTTAGATACAGTGCTTTATAAAAATTTAGAATGCTCAGATTTGCAAAGCTCATCTCATTATGTAATGCCTCTTTGCTGAACTTCTAGCATTTGGTCTCCAAGTGACTCTGAAGTGATAACTACTTAATGTGCTGCCCCAGAAAAGTTTCCAGTTGTAAGAAAATGCTAAATAAAATGTTGAATAAAGCCAATGACTGGTGTTTAAATCAGTGATTACTGACGAAGCATGACATTGTTCAGTGTGGCATAATGAAGACTACCTTCATTGTACTTTCCCCTAATGAAAAATTGTAGCCAGAGGTGATGGGATATTTAGAGTAGGGTGAGGTCAGAACATGCTCGATATTCAGCTTTGTGAATTGAACAGTGCGACATCTGGTCCCCTTTATAGTGGCTCAGGCTGATAAATAACACTAAGAAGCCCTTCTGTGTAACAAGACATTATAGGAAAGCAGGCAGGGACGAGATCATTCTGATGCTTGGTGTGAGAGCTTATCAGTGGTGTGTCCCTACTAAGTCTTTTCTTTATAAAGAATTGCTCACTTCAGTCCACACTTGTGGAGTCTCCTATTCTGCAAGATGCCTGGGTTCTAGAGCATTTGGTGGCTGTTGGTCTTCAGGGGTCAGTGGCGGCAGGTGAATCATCCACAGTGTGTGTGCAGAGGAATCCTAGAGCAGGTATGGGTCACTGAAATGCACAGGTATGGGTCGCACTGGAGGTTGTGGGCTTAAGGAGCCCGGCGAGAATCATCGAAGGCGAGGGTGAGAACAGATGGTGCTGGCCTTTCTGTGCTGCTGAGGCGTTTTCACGGTTTCCTGAAGGCTGTGTGGAAACCTTGAGCGATCCAGTAGGGGATGGCCGTGGTGGTCGGGGACACGACAGCATGCTGTTTGCATTAGAGAGGAGGTGAAGGTGGTGAAAGATTTTACGCCATGACAGTAACATAGCCACACATGTTGGGAAACCAAGAGAGGGCCTAAGAGCAAGGACTTGAGGGTTATTTGGAACATGGAGTCTTGAGGACTTGGTGAGAAAGAGGAGTTTTGTTTGCCTCTCAGGTGTCTGCCTGGTCGACTGTAGACAGTGCTAAAGAACTTTGCAATATGCTTCCTTTTCTTTTTCCCAGCGCAAACTTAAAACATTGGTATTTCTTTAGGAAGTAATTTTAAAGCTAAAACTCTGCTGTCTTCAATTTCTGCAGAGTACAATAAAAATATCCATCAATGTGCTTTTGTGTCCTAAGGAACTGAATTGATTCCCAACCTATAATGAGCAGCTAATGCCAAACTTTTCAGTTTCTGCCTTGTGTGGAAGAGTAAATTATAAAAATAATAAACATACAAAATGATACCCAGTACTTGTTCCCCCAGAAGATTCTGTTTCCTGACTGCCCTATTTCTCTTCGTGTAACAGAAAAACTTCTTTTTTTAAAACCAAACTTCTTCAGCTGATAGTTGAAAGTCAGTGACACTCAGAAGCCACTTTTTATGACATGCTTTGGCTTTTTCTTTGTCCTGAGATAAATAAGTGAAGAGGTTGATTTGAAATTCATGAATATTTTAGTCCACATTGTTCAGCTTTTATCAATAACCGGTGTCTGAAGTAATAGTAAAAGAAGTAAGGAGTTATTTAAGTCTCCTTTCAAGTAGGGGAAGAAAGACTACAGGTGTCTGAATAATAGTCCCAGTCCTTTCAGGTAAGACTGTGGAAAAGCAGTGGGTCTGAAGTTGTTATAGAAAGTCTTTGTAACCGATGCTACCCATTGAAAGATAACTGCTGAGACATGCCCTTCAGTTCATTCCCTTCTGAAATCCCATGAAAAATGATAGGATAGTCAATGCACAAATCCCCAAGGATTGAACAACAACAAGAAAAGAGACAAGAGCTGCCATATTTTGGAACCTGAAAACAGATGGACTCTTAGTAACTGTTTCAGGCAATCTGGGAAGGTTAACTCTAAGCAGGTAGTGAGGAAAGTCAAGAAAGAACCAGATTTAAACTCTAGAACCTCTGGAAGGTGCAGGAATTGATGAAGTTGGAGTAAAGGTGTGACTGAAAACAGAATTTTTGTGAAAGCCAGTTTGAGAAGTAGAGCCCAGACCCTCCCTCCCACACCCCCTTCAGCTCTACACAGCTGGGTGATACGCTGCTTCACCCAGCAGCAAGGCAAAATAGATGGACTCCAGACCGAGAGAGCTGGGCCCAAGTAAGGGAGGGACTATAGCGCAGGAAACCAGGTACGGTGACAGCTGACACCTTGAAGCCCCACCCTCCTTTTGGGACACTGGTCACCAGGTGCATGTGTACCCTTCACTCTGTTTTTGTCAAATGGCAGTGGGCGTTAGTTTGAGCTAAGTAATGTTTTACAATTTTTATCAACAATATTTGTGTTTAAATACATTATTACTACAAT